TCACAATGTTGTCCATAGCTTGTCATGATCCACACAATAAAAAGCCTTTGTGTAGTCAATGATGCACAGGTAAACATTTTTCTGATATTCTCTGCTTTCAGTCAAGATCCATCGCACATCAGCAATGATATCCCTCATTCCACAGCCTCTTCTGAATCCAGCTTGAACCTCTGGAAGTTCTTTCAATGTATGCTTGTAGCTGTTTCTGTATGACCTTGAGTAAAACTTTACTCACATGGGATATCAAAGAGATTGTCTGATGATTTCTGCATTCTGTTGGGTCACCTCTTTTTGGAATGGGCACAAATATGGTTCTCTTCCAATCAGTCAGCCAGATAGTTGTCTTCCAAATTTCTTGGTAGAGATGAGAAAGTGCCTTCTGTGCCAACTCACTTTCTTGAAAGATTTCAATTTTCATTCTATCAATTCCTGGTGCCTTATTCTTTGCTAATTCCTTCAATGCACCTTGGATTTCTTCCTTCAGCATCATTGGCTCTTGATCATATGCTACCTCTTGAAATAGTTGAACATCAACCACTCCCTTTTGGTGCAGTGACTCTGTGTATGCCTTCCATCTTCTTTGGATGCTTTCTGCATCACTCAATAATTTTCCCAGAGAATCATTCAATAATGAAGGTCCAGGCTTAAATTATTTATTCAGTTCTCCCAGCTTGAGAATGCTGAGTGTGATCTTCCTTTTTGGTTTTCTGACTGCAGATCTTTGCACATTTTATTGTAATATTTGACTTTGTCTTCTCAAGCTGATCTTTGAAATTTTCTGTTCAGCTCTTGTACTCCTCATTTCTTCCATTTGCTTTAGCATCTCTATGCTGGAGAGTAAGTTTCAGCGTCTCTTCTGACATCTTTCTTTTCCTTTTTTCTTGTCTTTTTAATGACTTTTTGCTTTCTTTCTGTACGATGTTCTTGATGTCATCCCACAAATCTTCTGGTCTTCAGTCTTTAGTGTCTATTGTATCAAATCTATTCCTCAGATGACCACTAAATTCAGGTGAGATATATTCAAGGTCATATTTTGGCTCTTGTAGACCTGTTTTCATTTTCTTCAGTTTCAGTTTGAATTTGCATATGAGTAATTGATGGTCTGTTCCACAGTCTGCCCCTGGCCCACAGATGTAGTCAATTTGATTTCTATGTATTCCATCTGGTGACAGTAATTAGTAGAGGAGTACAATGTTTAGAAAAGTTGTTTAGAAAGCATTTATAATTAATAAAGGCTTCTCTTTCTGGTTGAAAAGATAAAACACTTTAAATGGACACTCTTTCTCCTCTATGTGTTTGAACATGTATTCATAGTACATTGTAGTACATTGACTTAGAAGTGCAGGTTGTAGAGGACAAGTTGACTTTTATTTGACCAAATTCTTGAAATATCTCTCCACCACTACCACCATTTAATGCAACACAGACATTGAATCTTCCAATCGGGTGTGTTGTTCTGAGACTGACTGAAAACACAATAGCTTTCCCACTTGTCTCCTCTTTATGTTTTAGGAAGTATCTCAAGAAATCTCTCTTAACTTGGACTATTCTAAGGCATCTTAGACATTATTTCAAATTTTGCAACCTATTGATTGCCAAAAGATTTAGTGCTGTTAAAAAAAATGTAGCTTTTATCTAAAACAGATATTTCTCAAGATCATTTTTAGCTTGATCACTGTAAATCTTCAAGGGTGCATATTGATTTTAATAAAATTTGGAACTTTTTTTTTTTTTTTTTAATGCAACAAGAAGTTATCAAGGAGACTTCAGTGTCATTTGATATCACTAAGATAATGACATGATACTGCAGTGTTCCAGATATCTTGTGCTGGACATGGACAAACAGTAGCAAAAAAAGCATCCTACAAGGTGCTGAATTTAAATATTTATCTGAACTTCTGTGAGTATCAGTTTCATCCTATGAACTGTGGAAATAGTAGTATACATCTCAGAGTTAATATCAAAAGTTTTATAAAATATTTAAGTAAAGCAATATAAAAATATTATACATGTTGTAGTTGTTGTTAACTATCATCAAGTTGGTTCTGACTCATAGCAACCCTGTATAGGGTTTCTGAGGAGCCACTGGTGAGTTTGAATGGCCGACCTTGTGGATTAAACCAACCTTGTAGTCCAGTGCTTATCCTACTATGGCACACCAGGACTTTATATGATACACTAAAAATGGAAAACTATAAATGCGTATAACATTTTCCTTCACTTTTGGATGGAATGCCTAGTTTTCACAGATAATGCAATAACTTAAATAAGTGATGAAAAAATACAGTTCATAGGTCTTCTTCCTGTAGATTTTTAATTGTGATCTTATTTGAAATAATGAGAGCAGTTAAATGAATTGCTTTAACAATTCTATAATGCCACCAAATCTCTTTGACTTAAATAAAATGGAATAGGATCTCATTATAGCATGTGTTTGGAATGCATGAAGGGGAATAAAAAAGCGTAACACTCTGTTACAGTAATTGATTTTGTTGCTGTAAGAAAGCATGCATATGATTTTGGACTGTGGGTTCCAAAGAGCCTTTTAAATAGAGTTAGTACTGATCTAGGGTGAAAGTTAGAGGCAGTTACCAATTGTGTTTGGAGAAAGGATATAGACAGTCTAACACCTTCCAACACCCTCAAGGCTACCACTATTCTCAGATGCACTATTTGAATAATGATAAATTGTGTAGCACTACATAAAAAGGAGCTATACTATCTGCAAAGGAGCTCTGGTAGTGTAGTGGTTACGAATTGGGCTGCGAACCTCAGGGACAGCAGTTCGAAACTACCAGCTGTTCCGTGGGAGAAAGATGAAGCTTCCTACTCCCATAAAAATGTACAGCCTCGGAAACCTTATTCAGGGTCGCTATGAGTTGGAACCGACTCCATGGCACATAACAACAACAACAACAATACTAGCTGCAAAAAGCCAGGGTGGCAAAGCACTGGGCTACTACCTGAAATGTTGGTGGTTTGAACCCACCAGTCACTATCTCTGCAGAAGAAAGACATGGCAGTCTGTTTCTGTAAAGATTGCAGACTTAGAAACCCTATAGGAAAGTCCATCTCTAGCCTTTAGAGTCACTATGAGTCAGAGCTGACTCAGTGACAATATGTTCTACTAACCGCAGAAGCATTGGTGGCACAGTGGTTAAAACACTGGGCTGCTTGTCAAAAGGTTTGAATCCACCAGGTGCTCCATGGGAGAAAGATGTGGCTATCCACCACCATAAGAATTTGTTGTTCTTAAATGCCATCCACTCGCTTCCAATCCATAGCAATCCAGTAGAGGATTTCCCAGGAGTGGTTGGTGAGTTTGAACTACCAACCTCACAATTCAAACCAACTTTCTGGTCGAGTGTTTACCCTATAGTACCACAGCAAGACTTCCCATAAGAATTACAGCCTTGGAAGACCTATGGGGCAGGTCTACTGTGTCTTACAAGGTTGCTATCTTCCTGTATTTTTCATTTTTCCTTTCTCCTAGACATAATTTGTAGTCCTGGTGTGGTGCTGTGGGATAAAGTGCTGGACCACAAGTTCCATTGGAACCATACAATGTGAACAGTCCAAATTCACCAGCAGCTCCTCAGAAACCCTATGCAGGGTTACTATGAGTCGGAACCATCTCAAAGGTACTTAAGAACAAACAAACAAAAAAGACATAATTTTGGAAATTATCATAGCATCAGATATATTACAGGGATCTTCTTTATAGCATTTAGTCCTTTTATACCAATTTGAGAACTGCATGTATTTTTTATTATTAAGATTCCAAACATTAGCAAAACCAATGCTATCCAAACATAGGTTAGAATAGCATGTTGCAAACAAATGTTTTTTTTCCCCTTTACAGTGTGTTTGAAATTTATGTCTGCATTTTTTCTCTCCAAACACAAAAATGGAATTTTCTGAGTTGTACAACTCAATTCTGCCGTAAGCTATAAGTGAAGGATTAGTGGAAAGGGCAGGTGGTGGTGCAGTGGTAGAATTATAATCTTCTAGCAAGAGGCCAGGTTTGATTCCTGACCAGTACACCTCAAGCACAAACACCACTTTCCTGTTGCTATGATGCTCATCAGATGCCAGAGGAGCTTCTAGACTAAGGTGGACTAGGAAGAAAGTCCTGGCAATACGCTTCTGAACATCAGCCAGTGGAAGCCCTGTGAATCATAGCAGTCTGAACATGGGAATGATTCAGGAGGAGGCAGCATTTTATTTTGTTGGACATGGGATCCCCAAAGAGAAGGCAGCTAACAATAACCACCAAGAATTAAAGAGATGGCTATCTTGAGAGGTAAATCCAGTTGTTGAATCTGCTCTGAGATACACCATTGATGTCCCATATGTCTTAAAACATTTCAAATACTTCAAGTTGTTCTAGAGATGTTTGTTCTCTTATACAGCCAATCATCTGGGAAATTTTATGATTGAACTAGTAATAGCATTTTTTTTCCCTCCCACTGCATTTGTTTAAAATACTTCTAAACTAGAATTAGGTTCTTGGATTCTACCTGCCATCAAACTGGCCTGAGTGGTTTACTAGGTCTGCGTTCTTTTTTATTCACTCAATATGAACTGAAGTAAGCTTTGAAAGATGTTTTCTTTGAGCTTATAAGCCTGACTAATTAGTTCAAAGTGGTGCAAAGCACTTATATAATATTTGGACAATAGTATAATGATTATCTTTCAGAGATTTTGCTTCTCTAAAGTTTGGTGTGCAAAGATCGGGACTAAGGCAGAGCAAGAAACATAAGAAAATATTGTAGATGTTCTGGGCTTTAGCTGTTCCAGGGGCTGGAACACCCTTGGTGAATCAAATCATACAAGAAACACACCCCAGCAGCCATGTAGAAGGCTCCTTGAATCACTCTCTGTCTACATTTCTGCATTTTAAAAGTCTCTATTTCTCTTTATGAGCTGTAATTAAATTCCATATACATTACCTGATTCTGTAGAATAACAAAAATAAAACATATAGAAGTCATCCTCAGGTGGTTTCCAGGTAATTTTTTCATCATTTATCTTTGATACCTTTGGACAAGTAAGATTCCGAGGCTTTTCCGGAACTGTTGAAAAAAATGATAATATAGAATGTGAATAATCAGATAGGTAGATAACATTCTTCTATCAGTATGCACTGTTGATTATCCATTTTACCAATGATTAATTAATTATCAAATTAAAAGGAAGACATCAGAGCTTATTGAACTTGTTGTAGAGACCATTCAGCAGAAGAAACATCCCTCCCGAGTACCATTGTGGAACCTAAACATGTCAGTTTTGAAGACAGCTGAGAATCCCCAAATCCTATATGAATGATGGCCTGGATATCCAGGGATGCCTGGATTTCTCTGTGCTGAAGTCTGCCATCTGCAGCACTGAAACATCGACAGTCAGTGCTTGGAGAGACCCTTGTCATCGTCTCTAGAACTAGTCATCAGAACATGAGCTGAAAACGGTAATGCATTTTTAAATCAAACTTATTAAGAGTAATTAATGCACATTAAAACATACTCATGCTACAGTATAGTTTCTATGTTGTTAAGTGTAGCTGGGTCACTTCTGACTCAGTCATTTTTTTATTTTTAAAAGTTTCCAAGAAGCAGCTAATAAGCTTGAACCTCTGACCTTGTGATTCAAACCAACTTTGCAGTTCAGTGCATTAGCCCACAATGCCATAAGAGGACTCCACAGTTTATACAGTTAAGACAGTTTATATAGTCTTGGCAAATTACTATGTAAGTGTCTGTAACTGCCACCACAATCAAGGTACATAATATTTCTATCATCCCAAAATGTTGTTCTTGTTACTCTCCTGTCAACTCATCCTCCAGATTGGATCGCACACAACCTCAGATCTCCTTTCTGTTGCTACACAGTGAATTTGCCTTTTCACCCATGTCAAGTAAATGAAATCAGTCAGCATTTTTTCAGGCCTACTGTTAACACTCAGGAGAATGTTGCAGAGATCCATTCATGTTGGTGCATGCTCATTTTTATTACAGAGTGGTATTCCACTGGAGGTATGTATCATATTTAATTTATCCATTTGCGACTTATTGGACATTTAAGTTGTTTGCAAGATTTTTACTACCATGAATGAATCTTCTAAAAACATGTCTATAAGTCTTTGTATGAAGAACTTCATTCCTTTTTGGAAATGCTGGAAATAAAATGGCTAGATGATTGCCTTACAGCCTCAAAAACAGCCTCCTGAGTTTCTTTAATGTCAGCCATCTTACTAGGTGCATAATGTCATCACTATCTTACTGTGTTTTTAATTTGCATTTCTTAGATGGCTAATGATGTTGAGCCTCATTTTATGTGCTATTGGGCATTTGTCTATCTTCTTTTGTAAAGCATATGCTCAAAATGTGAGTTTATCTTAAGAGTGTATTTGACTACTTATTATGTAAGTTGCAGGGGTCTTTTATTCTGGAAAAAAATTTCTTTTGTTGGAAAACTAATTTTGAATAGTTTCTCAATGCCTACGACTTGCATTTTTATTTCCCTCATTAACTGCTCAAGAAGCAGACATTTTAAAAAATTATGAACTACAATTTATCAAATATTTTCTCCTTTGGTTCATACTTTGTATGTCCTAAGAAATCTTTGCCTATTTTAAAGTTAAAAAAAAAAAGGTTTGCTTCAGGGATTACATTGTTGTTCTTGTTGTTAGTGCAGTCGAGTCGGTTCTGACCCTTAGCAACCCTGGGTTTTCAAGGAGCAGCTGGTGAGCTTGAACCACAGACCTTGCGGTTCAAATGGCTTTGCAGTCTGGCACATTAACCCACAGTGCCATACCAGGACTCCAGGGATTACAGTAAAGGTAGAGCAGGAGAAAATGTAGAACAAAACTCAAAATTATATATGTATGATAAAAAGGAGCTCTGGTAGCATAGTGGTTACGAATCGGGCTGCTAATCTCATGGTCAGAAGTTCCAAATTACCAGCTGTTCTGCGGAAGAAAGATGAAGCTTTCTGCTCCGGTAAAGATGTATAGCCTTAGAAACCCTGTACAGGGTCACTATGAGTCGGAACCGACTCCTCGGCACATAGAAACAACAACATATATGATAAAAAGACCAGGTTTACTTGTCAGAAGGAGACTGGAGGACTCCGAGATTATGGTTCTCAGTCCCCTTGCAAATCTGGAACTAAGCTTACCTTTGCGACTCAATTTTCAGCGAAGCAGTAGATAACTAGGTATATGGGGGGCATGGGGGAGGACAACATTAATAAGGTAAGCTCAACATTCAAGATCTACAGGGCAGCATTTACCTAAAGACAAAGTTTTACAAGATTGGGCATGAGAATGGAATGAAAACAAGAATCACAGGGAGGAAGTGTGATAACTGATGTTACATGGAAGGGACTGCAATCATTGAAATGTAATGTAGTATAATATTTGTTGAATGTAAAACTGATGATCTGCTCTGTAAGCCTTTACCTTCATATAAAAAGTTTTTTTAAAAAAGTTTTCTTCTAACTCTTCATCTGGACATTTTTATAGTTTTAGCTTTAACATTTAGTTTTACAATTTGTTTCAGGTTAATTTTTGCATTTAATATGAGATGAGAGTTGACCTTCCTTTGTTTCTATAGGCATACCCAGAACCATTTGTTTACAAGACTATCCTTTTCCCCACTAAATTACCTTTAACACTGAAAATATATTAACTTTTTCTACTGACGCTGAGGACATCATTTTTATATCATCTTATTTGTTCTCCTTAAGAGTCTTGTATTGCTTTGGAAGATTATGGTGAGGCATATACTTAGGCAGCTGCTTAACTATTACTTCAGTAATAATTTTATAATTACTTTAGCATGATCTGTCAAAAATTGGCTACATTAGAATTAATGAATGAGTTCAGCAATCTTTCCTCCACTCTCCCAAATGGATTGTTTTCCTCTTGTTATTATTATCTTGATGTTTCTATTATGAGTGCATTGTCTACAGATGGGGGACATAGGGGGACCTGGAAGTGACTGCTAAAGAACATGAGGCTTCTTTTGGGGTTATAAAAGGTAATGTTGTTGTTGTGATTGTTAAGTGTCATCCAGTTGTTTCTGAGGAGCTGCTGGTTAGCTTGAACCACTGACCTCGTGGTTAAAATGACTTTGTAGCCTAGCACATTAATCTACAGTGCCACATCAGGACTCCATATTTATAACAGTAAAAGTAAATAATATTATTATATAATGTTAAAAGTAGCTACAATATTAATATTGTTGTTGTTAAGGGCTGGCAAGTTGGTTCTGGCTCATAGCGTCCCTGTATAGGGTTTCCCAGAAATGACTGGTGAGCTTGAACCACCAATCTTGTGGTTCTAACCAACTTTGCAGTCCAGCGTAACTTGCAGCACTATATTAATTGAAACATCAATGGAGAAAATAACATACTGTTAAAAAGTATAGTATAATAGTACTAATAATAACTCTTTTCCCATTAATGTTTGGATTTCCCACTGTAAATCTAATTTCTTTGCCCACTTTTACTTCTTTCACTCCAATACTTTTTTAAGAATTAATTTAATGGTTTGAGAAAAATACTGAGTCATTCTTACAGTAACAAAAACAGTGAGAGGTCACTTTTGAGTATTAATATGTCTGAAAGTACTTTCATTTCATTCACATGCTTGATTATTAGCTTTGTTGATCATTTTGAAATCTATGGACACATTTATTTCCACTCTGGAGACTGAAGGTAGAAAGGTAGAAATTGGAAAATGATGAGGCTTTCTGCTCCAGTAAAGAGTTTGTGGTTGTTGTTGTTAAGTACCGTAGAGTCGGTTCTGAATCATAGTGACTCTGTACAGGGTTTCTGAGGGTGTAAATCTTTACCGGAACAGAAAGCCTCATCTTTCTCCCACAGAACAGCTGGTAGTTTGGAACTGCTGACCATGAGATTAGCAGCCTGATTCGTAACCACTATGCTACCAGAGCTCCTTACAGCCTCAGAAACCCTACACAGGGTCACTATGAGTCAGAACTGACTCCACAGGCACATAATCACCACCACCATACTTTACCAACTATGATATCTTTTTATAGCAATTGATCTTTCCTTTTACGCCTTATCAGATTATTTGGTTATTTTGTGGTAGGTGGACTTCTAAAAATAGTCCACAAGATTCCACTCCCTTGTCCCTGGAAGCTATGAGTATGATGAGATGTGACTCTGATTGGTTTTGTTATGTGATATAGTTGACAGTGAGGCAGGAAGACAACCTGGTTGAGCCTAACCTAATACATGCTGTTAAGTTCCGCTGAGTTGGTTCTGACTTATAGTGACTCTGTATAGGGTTTCTGAGGAGCAGCTGGTGGGTTTGAACTATCCACCTTGTGGTTTGAAGTCCACTGCTGATCCTACAGCACCACACCAGGAGTCCAACCTAATTACATAAAGAACCTTTAAAGCAGTGGGTTTTGTCTGACTGGCAATAGCAGGGTGTATCATGAGAAGGGCTCTGTGGGTCATTGCTAGTTTGTAGATGGACAGGAACCCCATGAGAAGAAATGTGACCCCTAGGAATAGAGAGTGGCTTCTGACTAACAACCAGCAAGAAAACAGGGGCTTAAGATCTATAGTCAATAAAAGGAATGAGTTCCAGAGAAGAGCCTCATTCCCTGGTGACTCCCTGAGCAGAGATTCATTCCAGCCACACTGTGCTGAACTTCTGGTCTTCAGACCTGCGAGCGAATCAAAACCTACTCACTGCCACATCCATTCTGATTTAATAGATCTCTGTTGAAAGTCTGAATCTTGACTGCCAACATTTTCTTCATATTCTCTGAATTTAACTTTCTTTTGCTTAGGGAAAAACCCTGGAGGTGCAGCGGTAAAGCACTCAGCTGCTAACCAAAAGATTGAGGATTGAAGCTAGCAGTCTCTCCATGGGAGAAAGGTGTGGCAGTCTGCTTCCTTGGAAACCCTCTGGGAGCAGTTGTACTCCGTCCTACAGGATTTCTGAGTGGGAATTGACTCAAAGGCAATGGATTTTGGTTTTGTGTTTAAAGAGATTACATTTTTGTTTGATCTTTTTTGTTCCTTAATCCAGTTTTTGAGACACATTCAGCATTCTATTTAACTTATTTGTTGAGGTCTTTTAGTGCTATGTTTACAAAAATTTTAATAGTTTCTCTTTCATTATCAGTTGCAAATATTTTATAAGATTCTTCTTTTGTAGTGGTTATGAGTTGGGCTGCTAATCTCAAGGTCACCAGTTTGAAACTACCACCCATTTCATGAGTGAACTATGAGGCTTTCTGCTCCCATAAAGATTTACAGCCTTGGAAACCCTATACATGGACGCTAAGAGTTGGGACCGACTCCATGGTACATAATCACCAAAAATGACTTGTTTGATAACCTATAGTCTTTTTTCTTTTTTCATGTATTTGTTATTTACCATTTTATTTGATTTTTAAAAAAACATTTCATTATGAATTGGGTAAAGTTTTCAGAACAGATCTGTTTTGCATTTAGTAATTCATGCACATTTCTTTTCATTTCATTGATTGTGGTCTTCTCTGGGCTTCCTAGCACCATTCTTCCTTCTTTCATAACCCTCCAGGATTTTGTTCTAGGGTAAATGTTACCTTTTTTTATTTCAAATGGTCGATTTTTCTTAAGTATGTGCACTTCCCTAGTGTTACTGTTTCCTTTATAGAACTGTCTATTGATTAGCTGAAAATTCAGCCACTGGGGTGAGTTCATTTCCAGACCTGATGGGTGACTAAAGAGGCACAGTCTTAGGGGTTCCACCAAGCTCTATCTGACCTATAAGACTGGTCTCTCTTTTTTTTTTTTAATCATTTTGAGTTTTGGTCCATATTTTTCTATCACTCTATCCAGGACCTTCTTGTTTCTATGTTTCTGATCACTGGTTTGAGCATGAAAAAGATATTTTGTTTAGTGTTCAGTTCACATTCTCGACTTGGAAGTTCTATTCATGGTTTATACTGATTCATTTGTTTGCAAAGTTATGATAGCTTGATGAATCTATTGTGTAAAGCAATCCTGTCATATTTTATTTAATGTTAATTCTATCAAGAACAATACCATGTCTTAGATAATCTTCCTATTAGAATCTGTAAACCTGAAATATCATTTAATGATACTTTTCTTCTTTGTTTGGATTACGTTAAATTGCAAGCTGGTCACACCTGACTTCCTACTTAACCAGAGTTAAGTAAGATCTCTAGAAGAAGCAGAGTCTCATAGAAAGGCAGAATGTGCAGGAACACACCAAGAAGAGAACAATGCTATAAAAAGAAAGAGGATATGAACTGGGAAATGAATGAAAAAAATAATTTATTTGGCTCACAGTTCTATTTTCAACGTGACCTGAAAATAGCCTATCATTTGCAAACAAATTAGCAGAGGTTTCGAACCCTGTATAAACTATTTATAAATTTAACTTAAAAATTAATTGAATTTTATGAAATCCTTACTCTATATTTTCACCATCATTTTCTGTGATCCCCAACAAATTATAAGAACATTAAAAGGAAAACAATTCTATATATAAATGCAAATAATATACTCACTCCCAATATCTGTTGTGATATTTTTTTCCTCTTTAATAAATCTCTGTTTATTATAAAATACTTCTAAATCACAAGAATAATTATTTTTGGGTTCAAGATCTTCCATGTCAATCCTGCAATCATTTACTGTTTTATTATCTGAAAGAAATAAGTAATATATTTGAGTATATTACCAGAATATATCACATTTAGAAAGAAAAGCCAGGAAAATGGTAAAAAGAACTCAAGGAGTTTGAAGACCACTAAATACTGTATTTAGTAGAGTCCAGGTGTGGCACATAGGATAAGCACTTGACCTCAAGGTTGGTTTGAACCACAAGGTCAACTCACCAGCCAGTCTTTGGAAACCCTATACAGGGTCCCTATGATTTGGACAGAATTGACGGCACTTAACAATAACAACAAATTATGTATGGTTTTGCTGTATTCAATTAAAAAAAAAAACATACTTAGCAAGCATATCTTAAATTCTGTTTCTAATTTAATCGACCAAGAAATGATGCATTATATTCATCAATCTGTTAAAAACAGATTGTGCCTGAGTTAGCACTTGCTTAGTAGATTTTCTAGGTAGATCATTGTTTTATCATCAGTCTATTATATGCTTGCTTTTGTTTTCTTCCGGCTACTTGTTCCATAGCCATGTATCTTAACCTTCATCTAATGATTACAACCATTGCTACACCCATCCTGTGTGAGTGACCTGCCAAATATGGCCAAGAGATGGGAAAGAAGTGGTATTTCGTAATTGCCTCTACTGATCTGAATTCAAATTCATATTCCTAGACATACTTCTATGCCTTTTCCATTTCCATATCAGTTAAATGATGTTGTTGTTGTTAAGTGCCATCGAGTCAGTTCCGACCTATAGCGGCCCTGTGGAGGGTTTCCAAGGAGAGACTCATGCTGGCATTTATTTATGAAGTTATTGTTAAAGGACTGACAAAGTGTGTTCTTGAATCATAGAATTGTATGCTTGTTTTCCTCTAATTCTAATGGAATATGTATTTTGTCATTTTCATATAACACTCTTTTTTTCATAAAATCTCCAACAATGCCTTGTGTATATAGTTGCCAGAGAAATTCTCATAAGTTCATTGATTTTTACTATTCTGAAATTTTTTTCAGGAGGAGCATTTGTCTATTTTGTGAATTCTTATTGTTGTTGTTAACTGCTACTGAACTGGTGCCAACTCTCAGTGACCCCGTATAGGATTTCAGAGGAGCAGCTGGTAGATTTGGACTGTCGAACCTCTGACCTTGTGAATTAGGTAATGTTAAATTTTAGGTTGCTGGTATCTCATAAAGAATATAATTATTTATCTCCAAACATACCACAGACCTAATAGATGGGGAAAAAATAAAATAAGAAATAAAGCAGAGAGGGAGAGAGGAAAGAAGAGAAAAAGGGATGTGTCGAGAGAAAAAAGAGAATTAGGCAATAACTAGATTAATTTCCTACCCCCTCACAAGATTTTCTCGTCAATCTCTATTCTTACCACATGTAAATCTGAAGGTAATGTTTTGATAATCACAGTTCATTTCATATCTAGTTATCTTCCACTCTAAACAAAAAGAAGTATTTGCTTTTTCAGGCTGTGTACAATTAGATAAGGTAAATCGTTCGCGTGCTGTCAGGAAGATAAAGAAATATGACATAATTAATATTTTATCATTTTGACCATATTCAAAGCTACAGTCACTAAAATTATATCATGATAAAGAATTTATCAAGAATTTAGATTACTTTAGAAAAATTCTAGTTTGTCTCAGAGTTCAGTGTTTCTTGATAACTTAGTTTATTTTTTTTAATATCATACATTATGATAATGTTTTCATGTAGAATTTGTTACCTTAAAAAATGGGACCCAAGCAAACCCTTAGACAAATTTGTTACCTTTGTACATTTTAAAACTTTATTCCAATTTTCTTTCTTTATTATATCTTCTTTTTTTTTTTTTTAAATTTACTCTTTGATTTTCAATTTAACAGCCATTACAGAGAATACTGGGAGTTCCCATCTTGGGAAATGCATTTTTTCACATCATCCTTTTATTTGTTTCACTGATCATTTATTTCTCTAATATATAGTTGTTGTTTTTGTTAAGAGCCATTGAGTGGATTCCTACCCATAGCGACCCATGTAGGGTTTCCCAGGATTGCCTGGTGAGCTTGAACTGCTAGCCTTGTGGTTCAAACCGACTTTGCAGTCCAGTGCATTAACCCACAGTGCCACACCAGGCCTCCATAGTATATGGAGAAAGTGAATAAGTTACAGGGACTTTACTCTCACTAAAAAAACTATCAGATTATAACCTATTCAGATGCCAATAAGTTTTCCAAAGAACTTGAATTATTAAATGATGTGAGACATTAAAATTTGCACAGCCCCTAAATCATTTTTGCAAAATGTATTTTGTCAAGATAAATTTTCCTGGGATGTGCTTCAATGGTATCCACCTGACACCTTTTAGTCCCTTCTCTTCCCCAGTAGTGGTTCCATTGGCAAACCATCTTCATTAGTTTACATGACTAAAACTCCCCTCTTCATGAAAGCATTTAGTTTCTTTACATAAACATCATATCCTGGGCTTTTGTTTTTCTCCAAAAATATTCCAAATTTACATTTAAAAGAATAAATACACATTTACATTTAATGACTTACATAAAGGAGAAAAATCTAGCAGACAATCACTAAGGGGAAACTATATCTAATCTGCACAAACCTCTCAGTAAAAGATGGAGTGGCAATCTAACTGATAAAATTAGAAGACTTTGATTAGTTTGTCATTTTTACAGTGTTAGTCAAGCAGAAAACATATCCACTCATATGTTGCTGGCTTCATTTCCCTCAGCTCTATTCCTGTGACCACTCAAACACATCGCACATTTTATTATTTTTGTAACTATACAAATAGAAGTGAATTAATATTTACCTGGTGGTACATTTAAATTTAAGGGTTTAAATGGACGTGTACATGAATCACGGAATACTGTAACATTGCTATTTGTACATTCCTTTAGGTTTTCACAACCAGAGTTACACTTCACTTCATTGCCTAGGTTCACACTATATGATTCGGCTGTATTGTTATATGTGAATTCCACAGAGACATTTGCAATTTCCTTATCTGAAAGAAAAAAAACAAGGTGCGGATTTTCTATCATTTTCAGAATGAATAAATCTATATGAAAGATAAATGCCTTAACATATAGTTTCAAAAATGTTAAATCACTAATAAAATATCAGCAGGCATATGAAAAATAGAAGAAACACATTAAGTCCATCTACCTACACTTTATTGTTTTTAATAGTTTCCTTAACAATGTCCTCAACTCATAAGTGTATCTTTGGAAGGTGACTGGTCTGTATTCCTCACTGAATTGTAAATTCCAGGACGGCAAAGTCCAGTCTATTTTGATCATTGCTATAAACCCAGAACCTTGCCTAATCCCAGTCATTAACAGATGATCAATTATTACTTGTTCACTGATACACAAATTAATCATGGATCTGACAATTTGTTCTTCTCACGTTCTAACTCTCCTTCCTTTATAAAATATAGCTAATTATCTGTTTCTCTAAAAATGTAGACCATCTATAGTTCAGAAGTCAAAGGTACTCACATCCCTTTACTTCTATAAAACTATTACAGATAATATGTCCTTCTGAGAACTTTCCCTTGGTCTTATCTCTCACCTCTACTTAAGTGATTTCCATTGATTGTTAAATATTTCTTTTCAACAAATATTAATTTGTTCATTTTATTATTTAACAGAAAAATCAATAAGCCCTTATTTTGTTTAAGACACTACCTAAGCACTAAGAATACATAGGCTAGTCAAACATGGAACATGGGTATAGCTTTTAGAAACATGTAGTCTAACAGGGAAGACAGACACCAACTTAAATTACAGATGTGGAAACACTTTGGACAAAATTTTGCATAAAATGATATCAGAGTTTGGTGACCACGCTCGTTACCGACAAGGGGAAGTAAGGTAAAAACAACAATGAAGTGGCGAGCTAAGCCCTACAATATGGAGAGTGAAGCGTTCAGCTCATAAAAAGAGAGGGCATATGCACAAGAACACCCACACTTGCAGATAATACCCACTTAACCTGGCTTCAATGACTGGATGATCAGAGCTCAACCAGAATAAGAAAGAAGAGGAAAAAAA